CGGTGCCCGGCCCGGTGCCCACTGCCTGCCGCTCGCCGGGGTCGGTCTCGGCCATGGCCCCGCGCTCCGCTCGCCCCAGCCCCGCGGGCCCTTCTAAACCCTCTCCCCGCCGCCCTTCCACCCCCGGCCCGGCCCAGCCTGGTCAGTTCGGGGTCGCCGCCGGGTCAGGAGGGGCCGGGGTCGGGCTGCGGGCACAGGTCGGGGCGAAGCTCGGTCCCTGCGAGCAAAGCCGGCGGAATCCCATCGTCTCCCGGCCGCGGGCTCAGCCGCACGCCCGCCACGCCCAGGGGCAAGCACAGCCCTGTGCCCGCACCCATCGCCCCGGCGCGCCGGGATCCGGCCCGGGGCCACTCGCGGTCCTGTCGGTACCGGAGCTGATGGAGAAGCTGCTCTGCTGCAGCACCGTGGATTCTACCAATGTCGCACCTGTGCAAGCACCCCAAGTCATTAAATCCTTCAAAATACACCTGTGTGTACAGAATGAGGAGTGAGCTGTTGCCAGTCATTTAATTAAAATACATCCTCCTTTAAAAAAATGTTGATTTATCAGTTTATGCTGCCTCCTCCTAATTTACCTTACAAAATAAAAATATAAATTAAGGACTATACAATAATACATAAACACTCTGTCATGACTTCACAAAGAAAAAAAACCACTGAAGTGCCCAATGAACACAGAAGAATGGTGTGCATATAACTGGACCACGCACACTTAGGTGAAAACTTATCCGGTTTTATTTTTTAAAGAAAAATATTCCTCTTTAAACACGAAGCATGAACTAAAAACCTCCGAGGAACAGCTTCTCCTTCCTTGGAGCATGTTTAACTAAACTGTACAGTGATACAGCTCCCCAAAGTACACACACATAACATACAGTCTTTCTTTCACAGGAAATAAGGTTTAGGACTTGAAGTTGTCCTCCTCACCCTCTCTAGTTACCCATTCAGTCAAAAAATACTCTGTACCTTACTCCCAGCCCAGAACACAGTGATGGTAATTTCTGGATGCAACATATATTATTAAAAAAAAAAAAAGTATGGGCCAAATAGGCCCATTCTAGCCTTTTAACAAATGTCTGTGAGAGAAGTTAAGACCATCATTATTTCCAGGAATGGTGCTTGGAAGAAAAATATAGCAGCATCCACAGGCAACAGAAGCCCTTCAGTCCAGCTGCCCTGTTACAAGGAACCCAGCCAGTTCAGCAGGGATTTACAGATTTTACAGATGTTCCCAGCACCCAGGAAGAGGGAGCGGGAATCAAACATTCACAGGCCTCATCTGTTGCTTGAACAAATAGGCTAAAATTCAGTGAATCTGGCCTACATATGCCAGGAATGAGTTTTTTTTCTCCCCAGTGACCAATTTAATGTCTAAGGTTTTATGTAAAAAGGTATGGTAATCTTCAGAAACCAGCAACTTGTTCTACCCACTCCCTCTATCCCATCAAATAGATATGTGCACAATATTTGTCACATCTGCCTAACTCCCCAGACTGTGGAACTGGAACCAGACTCCAAAATACAAATTCTTTCTAATTCAGAACAGCAAAATCATCTAAAGTATCTGCAAGGTCTCAGAACATGCCTAACAAGCCCATAGCCAAAGAAAAAGTACCTGGACATTTTCAGTGGAAAGTAGGAAATGGAAAAGGTCTGGAAATAAAGCTCACTTGACCTCATCATTAATTGTTGGTATTATTAAGTCATGTTCAGATCTTTATCAGGCCATTTTGTAAAGATCTTTCCCACTCCATACACTCCAACAGTTTTTACAGTAGGAAAAGTATTAGAAAAATAAAATCTCCCCTCTGAACAACACTGTATGAAGATCAACATCATCAGTCACAGATATTTTTACAGGGGGACCAGATAAACTTCTGCTTCCTCCAAACCAGCTTTGTACAGAAAAGAGCAGCAAGATAGACACAGTATCTACGAGCTAGATTAAGGCCAACAATATACAGACAAACATGGGCTCAGATCTTCTGAAATGAAGAAACCTTGCAAATGTTTTTGTACATCTGCACGCACACACACACACACACACACACACACACACACACTCACGCTCGTGTGTTCCTCAAGGAAAGGCTTCACAACAATGAGAGCACCACGGGAGAGTTCTAGCACCAAATGAAAAGCTTCCCAATTCCCAAAGTCTCTCTATTGCTTTGGACAAGGTCACCAAACCCCCTTCCAAGAACAGTTTGAGTGAGCAGCCACAGAAGTGCAGTGACAGGTTAGTGTTCTCGTTCTGGAACGCGGGTGGGAAGAGATGGAGATGCTGCAGCTCCTGGCTGGCTGGAGAGGAGGAGAAGGTTGGTATTGCAATCTGGTTGAGTGTGGTGGTGAAACTCAGCGGAGGCTGGCAGGTGAAAGAGGGAGGTTTGCATACATGGAGTCACAGTGCACATCTGCTGGGTGATGGAGACAAGCAAAGCCACGGCATTTTCTGGCAGCTCGTCTCTCTGTGTAGGAGGCCTCCAGGTGGGACAAGGATCACACATGGCACCAGAACATCATGAAACCCAGAGAGCAGAGGCCTAAAGAGAAGCTTGGCAGCTGCTCTGCCATCATCCTGCCTGTACACATGCTCGGGTGAGTGTGCAAAGTCTATAAAAGGGACAAAAATCTCTTCACAACGAGGTTATGGGTCCGGTTTGGCTACAAGGGACAATTCATGCAAGTTACAATAGAATTCATCAGTCTGCAGCATATCTTTGTGCTGCAGGTCTCTCCTGGCTCTGGGCCTTGGTCCAGGAGGTGCTGGCAGTGCAGCCCTTCACTGCTGCCCGAGGAGGCCGAGGGAGATGCAGCCAGCAGTGACCTTTCCTCAGCCCCTGGCTCAGCACGAGCGTGAGCAGCCCCGGCCTCCCCTGCGAGCCACAGAGGGACCAGGCTCACCCACAGGCAGGGTGGGAGCAGCAGCTGGAAGTGGGCAGCTCAAAGCATGCAGGGGGATTTGGAAAACACAAAGACACTCAGGTTTTCAGTGCTTGAATCGGCAGCAAAGCCCCGTTTATGCTGTCACATGCAGCTGATCAGAACCTGGCCAGGGCTCCCATGCTCTAAGTGAGGCTGGGTAGGAGCTCAACTAAAACGTGCAACAAAGAAAACAAAGTGAAAGGAGAGTGATCATCACTGCGAGCTGTGGCTCCATGCTCAGCAGCAGATACACTTTGCTCTGTGCACATGCAAGAACACAAGAGAGGAACAGCAGCAGACTGAAAGGGAGGGAAAGACACCAATCACCAATTGAGGATGGAAATCACCAATTCAGGTTGCAAACACAGGGCAGTGGGGCAGGGGGGTGAAATTTGAGGTAAAGGAGCACAAAGGAAGAGACAACAGAAAACCTCTTAATACATTTGAGTCCTGTTTCAGGAAATACACAGCTAATGCAAGTCAACTCTCTTCTCACCAGGTATTTTTAACACATTGGTGAATCTTCTCTCTGCACTTGGTTTTTGAGAACCAAAACATCAAGATTTTTTTCCCTAAGATGCATTAAATGACTCTGAGTGTTCAGCACAATATTCTAAATGGCCCATGAATTCTAAGCAATGCTGAAGACTTACCCAAAATCCAGAAATACCCAAACTACAAACTGCTTTTGGAAATCTACTACTTTCCTCGGGCTAGAAAAGAAGAATCTATCCAGAAGGCTGAACTGTCCAGAAGCAGGTTTGGCATTTCCCACTGAGAGCACCTGTGCATTTTACTAGTAAGAAATATTTTAAACAGTTACTCAGCAAATCCCAATGTCAGACTGAGGTGTTAGGTTTCTGGGTAGATGTATACAATCAGACAGCTCCTCACCCACCTCTAACAGAACAGATTTGTGCGATTTACAGCAAGAACAGGCTCTGCCACTCAATGCTTCAGTGAGAACTCCAGCAGAGCTGTGAGCTGAGGCCCTTCGACTGTGGTGCAAAGCACACCAGGATCCTTTCTTTTTACCCACTTTAGAGTAGCACAGTTCATGCCTCCTGGGCAAAGCAAGGCTTGGGCTTCCAGGTTCTGCTGCAGCCAGCACAGGTGTCTGTCTGGGGGCTGTGCAGCCCTGCAGCCACAGAGAGGGCTGGACACAGGCACACACTGCGGGCTGAGAACCAGCATGGCCAGGATGGAACTGGTAAAAGTGGCCTCAGGGCCAGGTCCAGCTGGAAGCACAAGGACATCTAAGATGCAAGAACATGACAGAGCAGCCAAGGTCACCCATGTGCTTAGGCAAGCTTAAGGCAACTAAAGAAAGTTCACTGACAATTTAGAGGAGAATGCCAGAGAGAAGAGAGAAGAGGAACCACTGAGCAGAGCCTGGGGGTGCTGTTACAGTTGCCAAAGCCCAGCACCAGCTACTAAGCCATCCCTCTTCTTCAGCTCATTTGTTCTAATTCTCCCCATTTTACCAGCACCATCAGCACGAGGTCAGTATGTCAAAAAGAAGAGCATGGGGTAGGTTCCTAAAAATGCAGCTCACACATTTTCAGGTGTCTCAGTTCAGTTCTTTTGAAAGAAAGTGTGTGGGCCATTGGAGTGGCCTCCTGCTTTGAGCTGGAGCTGGGAATTCTGCCTGCCATCTCCAGGAACAGTCCTGGGATATGTTCTACCTGGAAGTGATGGCAGCAGCTGCCCAGGTTCCTTCTCATGCCAGCTGAGTGTACAGTAGCTTTTTGATGAACAGCATGCACCGGTGGCGTGGCCTTGGCCGTGAAGCCGTGGTGGAGTTGTTGGTGTCTCCTCAGGACCAGGTGGAACCAGAGAGACAGGGAGTGTTGGCACAAGTCAGCGCAGGCTCCTGTAGACGTAGGCTGATGTGAAGACAGCGTTGAGGGTCAGGCTCACGGCCAGCAGGCCCCGGAGAGCAGAGGTACCAAAGCGACCTTGGCAGAACACAGAGGAGAAAAGGGAATTGTAGAAAGAGGTGTTAAAGAACTGATAAGTAAAAGTGAACATATGTTGTACTGTTTCTCTCTGGCCAGTGTTTCAGCACAAGCAGAAATTGCTGAAGCACTTTTTCTTTCAGGAAAGACTCCATTGCTCTCTTTTGGCTCTATTGTAGTCTTATCTGATGCTGTTGACACCTGTATCCCCACCCTTCTTCTTCTGTCTCAGTTTAGCACTTTGACAGTGTTCTTCAGACAGTCCAAAGAACAGGAAAAGCCTTGTTAAGATCTTAGAATAGCGGGCTGAAGGTCCATTTAGCATCTACTTACTTGGTTTCCAGGAAAGATCTCAGCTCTCCTCACAGAAATGCTCACAGGTGCACAAAGCAGTCACCAGATTTGTACTCACCTCTCCAGCCTGCCAAATCATCCCCTTTGGTAGTTGTGTCTACCACACAGGTAGATGAGTTCGATGAGTGATCCTCCTTTTTGATGGAATTATCACTGCAAATACTCCCCCCTTCCACAGCAGATCTCATATCTGCAAGGAGAAAAAGACAGGAAAATTCACGCCCTGGGTTTCTCCTGAAGGTTCCCCATGCACTGTGGCCGGGGCTCGCCGGGAGCGCGGCGCTGCCGTACCGGGCACGCCGAGGCTCTTGCTGGGGCAGCCGGGCAGCTCGGGGGCACAGGCGTTGCTGTCGGAGTGGGTTTGCTCCTCGGAGCCGCCCGGGCTGAGCAGGGCCTCGCTCTGAGGGAACAGCAGCAGCTTCTGGCCCTGCAGGTTGAGGCGCGCGGGGCTGATGAGCGGCCGGCGGACGCGCAGCGACCCCGAGCTGGAGGTGACCGAGCCGGCCACCGACGGCGCCGGGGACGGCAGGCGGGACGGGGCACGGCTGCCCGCCGGCAGCCAGAAGGGATCTGCAACACAAACAGCCCACGGACAGCCCCCGGGTTAGCATCCCCTGCAGCAGGCACGGCTCTCTTTAACTCAGCTTAGGCTCTTTAACTCTCTCGTAGTACTACAAGGAAAAGGAATGGCAGTTGCACGTGTCCACCAATGTACCTTGTACTGAAATTATTTATTAGAGTCCCCACACTGCAAAACACAGAGAAATTCCGTAAGTGCTTTAGTACACTCAGGAATGACTCAGGAATCAAGGTATCAGGAGCCTGGTGAGCTTTGTCTTTGCTCAGCTGTGCCCATCCAGGAGAGCCTGCACAGTGCATTTTGCATTTTGAATTGTCCTGGCACGTCCCCCAGAGCTGCAGGGCTGTGACTGCCTCTGCAGCAGCACAAACTGACCTGTCTGGGCCAGAAGGGCAACAGACAGGTCACGGAGCAGCCAAACTAGCAGCACCCTGCTGGGAAAGCTACAAAAGAGCTGCCCTGGGAGCAGCTGAATATCCTCTAATCAGCCAAGGGCTCCTTGTTTTGTCTCTCAGTGATGTCACTGCGAGCTCTCCCAGGGAGAACATCCAACACACACAGCACTGATTTCAACGCCTCCCCACTTCTAGCAGGGACTCTCCCTGTAGCATTTCTAGAAGCAAATTGGACATTTTCACTGGAATGTGAGTGGGGAGGAAAGAATTCAAGCAGACCACGAGTTTCAACCCACTCAGTGCAAATCCTGTTGCTCTGGAAGGCCTGGAGCAGTACCTGATATTGGGAATTCCTTGGACTGGGATGACTGTGAGGCCGGCCGGCTTCCACTGAACAAGTAGCCAGAATCTAAAATCAGAAATGAAACCATTTGAACCCAGCTGGTTCAGCTGCTGCCAAACCCCAAACCCAAATGCTGCATACTCCTCTGTGCCACAGGAGCAGGACTGTAATGTGTGGATCCAGCCCCAATCCCTCTGACAGCCTGGACACTCACCTGGANCGGTGCCCGGCCCGGTGCCCACTGCCTGCCGCTCGCCGGGGTCGGTCTCGGCCATGGCCCCGCGCTCCGCTCGCCCCAGCCCCGCGGGCCCTTCTAAACCCTCTCCCCGCCGCCCTTCCACCCCCGGCCCGGCCCAGCCTGGTCAGTTCGGGGTCGCCGCCGGGTCAGGAGGGGCCGGGGTCGGGCTGCGGGCACAGGTCGGGGCGAAGCTCGGTCCCTGCGAGCAAAGCCGGCGGAATCCCATCGTCTCCCGGCCGCGGGCTCAGCCGCACGCCCGCCACGCCCAGGGGCAAGCACAGCCCTGTGCCCGCACCCATCGCCCCGGCGCGCCGGGATCCGGCCCGGGGCCACTCGCGGTCCTGTCGGTACCGGAGCTGATGGAGAAGCTGCTCTGCTGCAGCACCGTGGATTCTACCAATGTCGCACCTGTGCAAGCACCCCAAGTCATTAAATCCTTCAAAATACACCTGTGTGTACAGAATGAGGAGTGAGCTGTTGCCAGTCATTTAATTAAAATACATCCTCCTTTAAAAAAATGTTGATTTATCAGTTTATGCTGCCTCCTCCTAATTTACCTTACAAAATAAAAATATAAATTAAGGACTATACAATAATACATAAACACTCTGTCATGACTTCACAAAGAAAAAAAACCACTGAAGTGCCCAATGAACACAGAAGAATGGTGTGCATATAACTGGACCACGCACACTTAGGTGAAAACTTATCCGGTTTTATTTTTTAAAGAAAAATATTCCTCTTTAAACACGAAGCATGAACTAAAAACCTCCGAGGAACAGCTTCTCCTTCCTTGGAGCATGTTTAACTAAACTGTACAGTGATACAGCTCCCCAAAGTACACACACATAACATACAGTCTTTCTTTCACAGGAAATAAGGTTTAGGACTTGAAGTTGTCCTCCTCACCCTCTCTAGTTACCCATTCAGTCAAAAAATACTCTGTACCTTACTCCCAGCCCAGAACACAGTGATGGTAATTTCTGGATGCAACATATATTATTAAAAAAAAAAAAAGTATGGGCCAAATAGGCCCATTCTAGCCTTTTAACAAATGTCTGTGAGAGAAGTTAAGACCATCATTATTTCCAGGAATGGTGCTTGGAAGAAAAATATAGCAGCATCCACAGGCAACAGAAGCCCTTCAGTCCAGCTGCCCTGTTACAAGGAACCCAGCCAGTTCAGCAGGGATTTACAGATTTTACAGATGTTCCCAGCACCCAGGAAGAGGGAGCGGGAATCAAACATTCACAGGCCTCATCTGTTGCTTGAACAAATAGGCTAAAATTCAGTGAATCTGGCCTACATATGCCAGGAATGAGTTTTTTTTCTCCCCAGTGACCAATTTAATGTCTAAGGTTTTATGTAAAAAGGTATGGTAATCTTCAGAAACCAGCAACTTGTTCTACCCACTCCCTCTATCCCATCAAATAGATATGTGCACAATATTTGTCACATCTGCCTAACTCCCCAGACTGTGGAACTGGAACCAGACTCCAAAATACAAATTCTTTCTAATTCAGAACAGCAAAATCATCTAAAGTATCTGCAAGGTCTCAGAACATGCCTAACAAGCCCATAGCCAAAGAAAAAGTACCTGGACATTTTCAGTGGAAAGTAGGAAATGGAAAAGGTCTGGAAATAAAGCTCACTTGACCTCATCATTAATTGTTGGTATTATTAAGTCATGTTCAGATCTTTATCAGGCCATTTTGTAAAGATCTTTCCCACTCCATACACTCCAACAGTTTTTACAGTAGGAAAAGTATTAGAAAAATAAAATCTCCCCTCTGAACAACACTGTATGAAGATCAACATCATCAGTCACAGATATTTTTACAGGGGGACCAGATAAACTTCTGCTTCCTCCAAACCAGCTTTGTACAGAAAAGAGCAGCAAGATAGACACAGTATCTACGAGCTAGATTAAGGCCAACAATATACAGACAAACATGGGCTCAGATCTTCTGAAATGAAGAAACCTTGCAAATGTTTTTGTACATCTGCACGCACACACACACACACACACACACACACACACACACTCACGCTCGTGTGTTCCTCAAGGAAAGGCTTCACAACAATGAGAGCACCACGGGAGAGTTCTAGCACCAAATGAAAAGCTTCCCAATTCCCAAAGTCTCTCTATTGCTTTGGACAAGGTCACCAAACCCCCTTCCAAGAACAGTTTGAGTGAGCAGCCACAGAAGTGCAGTGACAGGTTAGTGTTCTCGTTCTGGAACGCGGGTGGGAAGAGATGGAGATGCTGCAGCTCCTGGCTGGCTGGAGAGGAGGAGAAGGTTGGTATTGCAATCTGGTTGAGTGTGGTGGTGAAACTCAGCGGAGGCTGGCAGGTGAAAGAGGGAGGTTTGCATACATGGAGTCACAGTGCACATCTGCTGGGTGATGGAGACAAGCAAAGCCACGGCATTTTCTGGCAGCTCGTCTCTCTGTGTAGGAGGCCTCCAGGTGGGACAAGGATCACACATGGCACCAGAACATCATGAAACCCAGAGAGCAGAGGCCTAAAGAGAAGCTTGGCAGCTGCTCTGCCATCATCCTGCCTGTACACATGCTCGGGTGAGTGTGCAAAGTCTATAAAAGGGACAAAAATCTCTTCACAACGAGGTTATGGGTCCGGTTTGGCTACAAGGGACAATTCATGCAAGTTACAATAGAATTCATCAGTCTGCAGCATATCTTTGTGCTGCAGGTCTCTCCTGGCTCTGGGCCTTGGTCCAGGAGGTGCTGGCAGTGCAGCCCTTCACTGCTGCCCGAGGAGGCCGAGGGAGATGCAGCCAGCAGTGACCTTTCCTCAGCCCCTGGCTCAGCACGAGCGTGAGCAGCCCCGGCCTCCCCTGCGAGCCACAGAGGGACCAGGCTCACCCACAGGCAGGGTGGGAGCAGCAGCTGGAAGTGGGCAGCTCAAAGCATGCAGGGGGATTTGGAAAACACAAAGACACTCAGGTTTTCAGTGCTTGAATCGGCAGCAAAGCCCCGTTTATGCTGTCACATGCAGCTGATCAGAACCTGGCCAGGGCTCCCATGCTCTAAGTGAGGCTGGGTAGGAGCTCAACTAAAACGTGCAACAAAGAAAACAAAGTGAAAGGAGAGTGATCATCACTGCGAGCTGTGGCTCCATGCTCAGCAGCAGATACACTTTGCTCTGTGCACATGCAAGAACACAAGAGAGGAACAGCAGCAGACTGAAAGGGAGGGAAAGACACCAATCACCAATTGAGGATGGAAATCACCAATTCAGGTTGCAAACACAGGGCAGTGGGGCAGGGGGGTGAAATTTGAGGTAAAGGAGCACAAAGGAAGAGACAACAGAAAACCTCTTAATACATTTGAGTCCTGTTTCAGGAAATACACAGCTAATGCAAGTCAACTCTCTTCTCACCAGGTATTTTTAACACATTGGTGAATCTTCTCTCTGCACTTGGTTTTTGAGAACCAAAACATCAAGATTTTTTTCCCTAAGATGCATTAAATGACTCTGAGTGTTCAGCACAATATTCTAAATGGCCCATGAATTCTAAGCAATGCTGAAGACTTACCCAAAATCCAGAAATACCCAAACTACAAACTGCTTTTGGAAATCTACTACTTTCCTCGGGCTAGAAAAGAAGAATCTATCCAGAAGGCTGAACTGTCCAGAAGCAGGTTTGGCATTTCCCACTGAGAGCACCTGTGCATTTTACTAGTAAGAAATATTTTAAACAGTTACTCAGCAAATCCCAATGTCAGACTGAGGTGTTAGGTTTCTGGGTAGATGTATACAATCAGACAGCTCCTCACCCACCTCTAACAGAACAGATTTGTGCGATTTACAGCAAGAACAGGCTCTGCCACTCAATGCTTCAGTGAGAACTCCAGCAGAGCTGTGAGCTGAGGCCCTTCGACTGTGGTGCAAAGCACACCAGGATCCTTTCTTTTTACCCACTTTAGAGTAGCACAGTTCATGCCTCCTGGGCAAAGCAAGGCTTGGGCTTCCAGGTTCTGCTGCAGCCAGCACAGGTGTCTGTCTGGGGGCTGTGCAGCCCTGCAGCCACAGAGAGGGCTGGACACAGGCACACACTGCGGGCTGAGAACCAGCATGGCCAGGATGGAACTGGTAAAAGTGGCCTCAGGGCCAGGTCCAGCTGGAAGCACAAGGACATCTAAGATGCAAGAACATGACAGAGCAGCCAAGGTCACCCATGTGCTTAGGCAAGCTTAAGGCAACTAAAGAAAGTTCACTGACAATTTAGAGGAGAATGCCAGAGAGAAGAGAGAAGAGGAACCACTGAGCAGAGCCTGGGGGTGCTGTTACAGTTGCCAAAGCCCAGCACCAGCTACTAAGCCATCCCTCTTCTTCAGCTCATTTGTTCTAATTCTCCCCATTTTACCAGCACCATCAGCACGAGGTCAGTATGTCAAAAAGAAGAGCATGGGGTAGGTTCCTAAAAATGCAGCTCACACATTTTCAGGTGTCTCAGTTCAGTTCTTTTGAAAGAAAGTGTGTGGGCCATTGGAGTGGCCTCCTGCTTTGAGCTGGAGCTGGGAATTCTGCCTGCCATCTCCAGGAACAGTCCTGGGATATGTTCTACCTGGAAGTGATGGCAGCAGCTGCCCAGGTTCCTTCTCATGCCAGCTGAGTGTACAGTAGCTTTTTGATGAACAGCATGCACCGGTGGCGTGGCCTTGGCCGTGAAGCCGTGGTGGAGTTGTTGGTGTCTCCTCAGGACCAGGTGGAACCAGAGAGACAGGGAGTGTTGGCACAAGTCAGCGCAGGCTCCTGTAGACGTAGGCTGATGTGAAGACAGCGTTGAGGGTCAGGCTCACGGCCAGCAGGCCCCGGAGAGCAGAGGTACCAAAGCGACCTTGGCAGAACACAGAGGAGAAAAGGGAATTGTAGAAAGAGGTGTTAAAGAACTGATAAGTAAAAGTGAACATATGTTGTACTGTTTCTCTCTGGCCAGTGTTTCAGCACAAGCAGAAATTGCTGAAGCACTTTTTCTTTCAGGAAAGACTCCATTGCTCTCTTTTGGCTCTATTGTAGTCTTATCTGATGCTGTTGACACCTGTATCCCCACCCTTCTTCTTCTGTCTCAGTTTAGCACTTTGACAGTGTTCTTCAGACAGTCCAAAGAACAGGAAAAGCCTTGTTAAGATCTTAGAATAGCGGGCTGAAGGTCCATTTAGCATCTACTTACTTGGTTTCCAGGAAAGATCTCAGCTCTCCTCACAGAAATGCTCACAGGTGCACAAAGCAGTCACCAGATTTGTACTCACCTCTCCAGCCTGCCAAATCATCCCCTTTGGTAGTTGTGTCTACCACACAGGTAGATGAGTGCGATGAGTGATCCTCCTTTTTGATGGAATTATCACTGCAAATACTCCCCCCTTCCACAGCAGATCTCATATCTGCAAGGAGAGAAAGACAGGAAAATTCACGCCCTGGGTTTCTCCTGAAGGTTCCCCATCCACTGTGGCCGGGGCTCGCCGGGAGCGCGGCGCTGCCGTACCAGGCACGCCGAGGCTCTTGCTGGGGCAGCCGGGCAGCTCGGGGGCACAGGCGTTGCTGTCGGAGTGGGTTTGCTCCTCGGAGCCGCCCGGGCTGAGCAGGGCCTCGCTCTGAGGGAACAGCAGCAGCTTCTGGCCCTGCAGGTTGAGGCGCGCGGGGCTGATGAGCGGCCGGCGGACGCGCAGCGACCCCGAGCTGGAGGTGACCGAGCCGGCCACCGACGGCGCCGGGGACGGCAGGCGGGACGGGGCACGGCTGCCCGCCGGCAGCCAGAAGGGATCTGCAACACAAACAGCCCACGGACAGCCCCCGGGTTAGCATCCCCTGCAGCAGGCACGGCTCTCTTTAACTCAGCTTAGGCTCTTTAACTCTCTCGTAGTACTACAAGGAAAAGGAATGGCAGTTGCACGTGTCCACCAATGTACCTTGTACTGAAATTATTTATTAGAGTCCCCACACTGCAAAACACAGAGAAATTCCGTAAGTGCTTTAGTACACTCAGGAATGACTCAGGAATCAAGGTATCAGGAGCCTGGTGAGCTTTGTCTTTGCTCAGCTGTGCCCATCCAGGAGAGCCTGCACAGTGCATTTTGCATTTTGAATTGTCCTGGCACGTCCCCCAGAGCTGCAGGGCTGTGACTGCCTCTGCAGCAGCACAAACTGACCTGTCTGGGCCAGAAGGGCAACAGACAGGTCACGGAGCAGCCAAACTAGCAGCACCCTGCTGGGAAAGCTACAAAGGAGCTGCCCTGGGAGCAGCTGAATATCCTGTCCCACTCTGCTCTAATCAGCCAAGGGCTTCTTGTTTTGTCTCTCAGTGATGTCACTGCGAGCTCTCCCAGGGAGAACATCCAACACACACAGCACTGATTTCAACGCCTCCCCACTTCTAGCAGGGACTCTCCCTGTAGCATTTCTAGAAGCAAATTGGACATTTTCACTGGAATGTGAGTGGGGAGGAAAGAATTCAAGCAGACCACGAGTTTCAACCCACTCAGTGCAAATCCTGTTGCTCTGGAAGGCCTGGAGCAGTACCTGATATTGGGAATTCCTTGGACTGGGATGACTGTGAGGCCGGCCGGCTTCCACTGAACAAGTAGCCAGAATCTAAAATCAGAAATGAAACCATTTGAACCCAGCTGGTTCAGCTGCTGCCAAACCCCAAACCCAAATGCTGCATACTCCTCTGTGCCACAGGAGCAGGACTGTAATGTGTGGATCCAGCCCCAATCCCTCTGACAGCCTGGACACTCACCTGGA